CCGTGATCTCGTTCTCGGGCTTTACAACCTCAACGTACGCCAATATTTTCCCGTTTCGGGCCAAGGTCATGCGCATGTTGTACTCCCAGTGATAGTAGCTACACTCCCCAGGAGGACTTCGGCGCGTTTGGAGGTCATGTCTTAAACGTTACGGTCGTTATAGTTGCGGCTGTTAGCCTGCTGGAATGGGGTTATTGTTGCAGGCACATGCAGAAATGAGTAATTTGAGATACCTGAAACTGCTTTATGTTATCCCCCTTTATTCGATGTCCTTCTCTGATCGTCTGCTTACAAAACATAACATTTCAGCCAATGAGGTGACCGTATCTAAGGTTCAAGTAACCGTTAACACGGTCCCGAACCGTGCAGGAGCGGGCACACGCCAACAGTAGAGTTAGCCCCATCAGACTTGCAAATGTTGAGCTTCAGCTGACTCTGTTCGCTAGCAATCGTGCTAGTGTCGGAGAGGAAGTCTGATGTACTGAAATCAAATGATTATGTCATTATCTCTTGCCCTAGTTATTTTGCCTTACCTCTCTACCGCTCGTGTTCACCCAAGCGGTTTCCTGCAGCCGAAGCTGACCGATGCTAAACACGACAGGCCTTAAGTCGCTAGCTGTTTTTTCAACCGCCCCAGCACGCCTATTCATGCATGTACCTACCTAACATAAACCGAGTAACCGACTCAGAAATAATGCAATTTCCAACAGACTCACAGTCGGCATTTCATAGTTGCCGATCGCTTCTGCCATGTGTGTCGTAGGTGGCGGCGCGAGCGAGGCGGACATCAATTCGCCGTCATATGGCTTGCGCGCGCGAGGTGTCGCTGGTTTTTCGTTCAGCGGCCCAAGCGCATTGATGGTCATGGGGCGTCCACGCATGTTTGCTCCAAGCTTGGACGGAAACATGCCGCTCTCGACAGCTCCAAGCATCCTCTTTTCTTTCGTCTCGGACGCGCTGCGAAGACTCAAGCTTCGACAAGCGATTAGTCACTGCGGCGAAGGTCGCGAGAATCTTGTCACCGGTGGTCTAGCCCCTTTCGCGAGCTGGCGGTTCTTAGACGACTGCCAGTTGATTTTCGACGAGGAAATACGCGCTGGCGAGCCACGCCCTGGTGCAGCTTGCGCGACACCTCCTGGTGTCTCGGCGGTCGCTCAGATGCTCTAGCCATTAAGCTTCTATCCTGTAGGCAAACATGCGTGTTGCAGTAGAAAAACGGTAAGATTCTGTATTTATACTTTTTGTCGTCTCTTCTACCGCTTATTTTCGTAAAGCTATCATCACCACTCATCTTGCCAAGCAGCTTTCTCCACCTCTTCCCATCCAACGGATCACGCCAATTGAGACATCGCGCCAAACCTCCGACCCACCTAATCGCTGATCCCTATCTTTGATAAAGTAGTTTCAGTTTTTATGTTCCTGAGCTACAAATGCGTCTTTTTGTCGTCGCCCAGCGCGTGTAGTACGAAGTTGGGAGTATGAATACTAAGCTGTTTTTTGTGCTGACAACAACTTCAATTGCCCTGCTTTCAAGGCCTTGCTTGAAGTTCTTTACAAGGTATGCCATATGATGTTAAAGTCACGTCAGTTGTTAATCTAATAGTATGCGCCACGGCGAAGATCTGGAAACAAGGCAATCCATTTAACTAAAGGTTAAACATGAACCTTTAAGGCTTCATTCTCGACACGCCGATATGTTGCATAGCCTTACTTCAAGGCGGGCCATACTCCAGGAGCACATCGCGACACTTCATAATTGCTTGCAGCATTTTGCTCGATCTTCCAAAGCGCTTGCTCACGACTAGTCACTGTGAGGTTTGGTGCTGTTCATTTCTTGTTCTGATCTCGATAAATCCTACTTTGTCCATAGCCGCCTTCGTCAAAAAATTATATTGCCTCCAGAGGTGTTGCATCACGAAAACCATTGACGAGGGTCGTTTTGTTGTCACTTTAACAAATTGGTTGTGCGCCATCCGAAAGAGAACATGGTGTCATCGGTGGCTTGTTATTATCGTAAGGAAGGTTAAATGTGAACCTGTTAGTGATGTCATTAAATTCCACTCGAAATAGTGCTTGCCACACGATCACCATCATCCATCGGCATTTGGCAAAGACTGTCCAGTAAATTATATTGATCTCCTTGAGATACGTGGCCACACTGTCTCCGTAATTCGATCGAATTGCTGTGAGGGCCTCATTGTGGTCAACATCTGTCTCTGTGGGTCGAAGTTTTTACACTGCATTCTCAAATTCGCGCCCAGAGCAGCCGAAGTTAAGCTTGACATAACGTAATATGCGTATCGTGCATAAACAAATTGAGCACTGATATCCGCCCTTATACACTCTAGTTTCACGGCTTCTCTAAATTTTCTACGATCACACATGACAGCGACATTCATGAAATAAATCTTAGCATTGATACATTGAATGAAAAACGGGCAAAGTTGTCCTTGTTTTCCTTGTGAACAAATGGTGATGCAAGCTTGACGTATTGTCCATTTCCATTTCGTCCAATAAGAAAAAGTATCGCATCATTATACTTTCCGTGACGAGACTGGGTGCCATCAAAGCCAACCATCGGGGTATTGAAAGAATGACTGTCGACGGTACTTCTCCAATCGCCACAAAAAATCGATTATTATGATCGACGAGAAGTGCCACATGGCTGTCTGGATTGACGCGCATCAACTCCATTAAGTGTGGTGCAAGGAGTAGTTAAGATGATTCCATTCTCATTCCATGTCTTAAACCATTGCACCCTTGGCCCTATAAATCTTGCTTCAATGCTGCTGTACATTAGTGCCATCACGAGCCTGTACAAGCGCCACAATTGACTTACGCTTCATCCCTTTTCGCCTCCAACCGCGGCATCGGAACCTGGCAGCGGTTGAGTTTCCCGAGCTGATGGTTTGGCAATAGCCATGCACACATCGGAATGATTATCAAATAACGTAGTAATGTAAAACCCAAGCGTTTCACCTGCCTATTCTCGCTTCATCACACGTACCTCTCACGGGCACCCATCTTGTGGGCATTTACATGCCTTTATTATGCCATTACTCTTCTTCACCTTGCACTGTCAATTTTGATTGAAAAGTGATTTTTCATATACGCGGTTGCATCAACGCCGGATCGGAAGCTTATTTCATACGTCATGTCAGTGGTACCGTAAATAGCGCGCTTTTCGATCGCCCAAGTTTCTAGAGACATCTTGATGTTACGTCACGCAAAAGGGATCATACAAACTACATAAAAATACAACAATTTGATGAATTTAGACAGCCAAATTTATAATTATATAGACTTTTTCGACTAGTACTGGTTTCTAAACAATTTAAGATCATTAAGTGCATTCACTTTCTTAGAATATGTCGGTCATTTATGGTCCTCGCACTGCAATACATACACACGGACATGGTACGCATTTGTTTAACAACACGATCGTCATCAAAAGTAAGCACTGACCTGTTGCTGCCACTGGTCGCGATTAGTACTGTGTCTTAACGGGGTTCCCACGACCACGGGTTCGTGTGACCAGGACCGGGCTCGCATGCAATGTGCTCACTGCAAGTGAGCACATCGGCGCGTGGGCGCTATTTAATAAGTGAGCGAATGTCGGTAGAAAAAAAGCGTTCGGGACCATGCGTGATAGTTGTCTATCAGATGGAAAGATTCGTTCGCAATTATGCCAATTCTTGTCCCATGTTGCAAGAATGATGTAGTAAGCACTATATTCTTGTTTTTATACTTAAGTAAAGTATAATATGATTTTGGGACTTTTGTACATTCGTGGTATGGTAATGACATTTACTCTCACGTTTTACGCATCAGGTCTGTCAACATATGTAGACACATGTGTTTTTCTTCAATGAGGTGTAAGAGGAACGGGAATAAGAGATACGCAGAGGAATATTGGGGATCCTAGGCATGTGTTTGTCCGGTCGTATCTTTTTCATCTCGGGGTGCACTTTTTCAATAATTTCGTAAATTGTGTTTTATATATCTGGTGGCTTTTTATGTATATTTTCGGTTCATTTGGCTTTTTTCTCGAATTTGTGGTAAAATTTACAAAATTTCATCTGGTGGTAAACTCTAGTATGCCTGCCTGGGCCATTTTTGCCTTTGTTGTAAAGCTCCATACTATTATCAACTGAGTAATAGTCGTGGTGACAATTGCAGATGTCAATGTCATGAAACTGTGCACGCCGTTCCACCACCCGCTCGCACCCTACTCTTAAATACTTTGTGGCAATACGTGCTTTTCATTTGCTGTACCTCCACAACCTAATCGTTGCTTGCGCAAGAGTGTACAAAGTAGTCGCACAAAGCGACACTAGTAACTCGATCGTCTGCATGCACATTTCGCACTTGTGTGTTGTCCACTGCTTGAAAGTCGGTCGATCCATCGGTCGGTCAGTCAATTAACAACACCGCGAAGTCAAATATCAACTTACTGCACTGGAAATCGACTTACTGCACTTAAGCTCGTACCAGCTCAGTAGACGAGCGTTTCTCCCGTGAGATTGTCGTACACGTGTCCAGAACACACGGGTGGGAGCCGCGAAACCTCATGTCGCAAAGAGTGCCGACAAGATACAAAGCTGACACGAAAATCGACCACTGACTCAGGTCTCGTTGTTCGCACGTGTAAGTTCTGAGGCGCCTTGAACGAAAGTAATCGGCAATCGAGTCCTGCGCGATATCGATCAGCTCTCGTGCCGCGTACGAACTGCATAAAATGCGATACGTCTTTCACGAGCTCATGAAACGGAAAAAGCGCTGCTGCGGCTGCGTCTGTGTCCACCAAACGATAAACAACAACAGCCCTCCAATCCGTTGTCCGAAAGTATCTTGAAAAGATGAGCCCATCGCCGCGTACCATCGCATCAGTTTTTCTTCCCTGATTTATGCCTCCTGAAGCATCAGATCTCCCTCTCCAGAAGAAGACTCTCTCCACACACCAATCGGTCGCTACAGAGGCACTGGCACACGTGGCGCCAATGCAGGTGACGACCCAAGCGGCAGCCAATGTGCTGCTGACGAGTGTCACGGTCTACTTCCCGCTCTTCCTCGTGCTTGTTTTGGTCTATGAGTGGCTCCGGCCTCGCGTGCCGCACGTATACGCACCAGAGAACGTCGCAGACTTTCCCCAGTCCAAGCAGCGCAAGTTCTTGGGCTGGGTGCCCTTTGTGTGGCGGATCGACGAGTCCCACGTGGCTGAAAAGTGCGGTCTGGACGCGTGGGTCCTGCTGCGCTTCATGCAATTGGGACGAAAGGTGGCGCTGCTGTGTGTTTTGTGCTCCCTCGCCCTTTTTCCCATGTACTTCTTCACAGCAGCAGTGCTTGAAGCACAGGAAGAAGAGAAGCACCACCACGACCACCGACTGAGTCACCTCCTGCCTGCACATAACGGCGAGTCAAATGCTTCAGTTGCAGCGATCACGTCCCTGATGATGCTCATGCTTGATGCACAACTGGAGGTCGGCAGCAATGCATCAAAAGATGTGTTGGCCGACGGCAAGTTGAAACTGGATGTGGTGGACCGACTCACGATTGCCAATGTTGGCAAAGATGACTGGAGACTCTACTTTACAGTCCTTGTTGCCTACATTATCAGCTGCTACGTCATGCGACTGCTGCTGAACGAGTACACGGTATACCGCAAACGTCGCCACGAGTTCCTCACGCGCAAGCATCCACAGCAGTATAGCGTCGTGATCTCGGACCTCCCTCAGGCACAACGTCGTCCCCAGACGTTACAGGCGTATTTGAATTTCCTGTTTCCCGATTCCGTTCACTCAGTGTACATTGGTGTCGAGTGTGCAGCACTCGAGAAAGTGCTTGAAAAGCGCCGGACGATCGTGTACCACCTGTATGCTGCGAATGTCCAACTAGCGAAGGCGAAATCCAAGGCAAGTGACCATGATGTGATCCAGCGACCGAAAAACTACATTGGCCGTCGCTTCTTTGGACTCTGTGGTGGTGGCAAGAAAGTTGATGCTGTCGATTACTACACGGAGGAACTGCAGAAAGTGGAGGCTGAGATGGTTCGTGTTCGAGACGACATCCTTCGCTCTCAGTCGGCAGAAAAAGCCCAAGATGTCACTAGTGGAAAGTCATACGGCTCCATGAGCGCAGCAGCGTCACGCGGATTTTCTTCTCTGTCCGAACTGACCGAAAAGCTTCGTGCAACAAAGAGTTCGGTGTGGAGAGATGAAACGTTGCCATTGCTGCATGTCAGCATGCCGGTGCCCAAGCGTCCAAATGTGATGCGCAGCAGTGCATTTGTAAGTTTTCGGAACATTCGATCTGCGCAAGCGGCGCAGCAACTTCTCCAGGTGGAGAACCCTCGTTGCATGGTTGTTCTTCCTGCCCCTAACATTTGTGACGTTCAGTGGGAAAACTTTGGTCTGCCGCACAAGCTCAAAGCAAGGTGGAAACTTGTCTCCATGGGCGTCTCGCTCTGGATTGGGTTGTTCTGGACAGTGCCAACGGCTTTCGTCGCATCGATGGCTAGCGTTGACGAGCTTCGCCACCTATTCCCATGGCTCGGTGGCTTTATGGAGAAAAGCCCGTGGCTTCTCATTGCTTTGCAGCAAACTGCACCGCTGGTGTATTCAGCAATGAATGGTCTCGCAAACGTGATTTTTCGGCTATTGTCTACGCAGGAAGGTTACTTGTCGATCTCGGAAGTGGAAGCTAGTCGCTTTACGAAACTGTGCTTCTTCCAAGCTTTCCAAATGTTCTTCGTGTCGGCGCTCGCAGGATCCATCATCACGGAATTTATGTTGTTCTTGGATCAGCCGCGTGCGCTGTTTTTCTTCTTGGGCAACACGATTGCGAACCAGTCCATGATGTTCATCACCTTCATCATCACGCAATTGTGCGTCAACACGCCCCTTTTCCTGCTGCGCGTGTCACCCTTGGCAATCTCTGCGGCACACCGTGTCTTGGCTCCCTTGCATGCCAAGTTACCTCAACCCCAAGAATGGATGGGCCTATGCCCGATCAATTTTCGTACCGACCTCGATGTGCCGATGAATCTGGCCCAGCAATACCTCGTGTTCTTGTTTGTCGTGGTGTTTGCCCCCATCGCACCACTCGTGGGCTACTTTGGCGCAATGTTCTTCGTGGTGTCCGAGCTTTCATACAGGCGGTGTTTGTTTTTCGTCAACAGCTCGCGCTGGGCAGCAAATAATTTGATGGGTGTGTATTGGCCACCGCTCTACTCATTTGTCATCGGTGCGCTCATCATCGGTCAATGTACGCTGATTGGACTGCTGTCCTTGAAGTCGGGTGGATATGGACCGATCGGGCTGACCACCATGCTTCCTTTCATCACGCTTGCCTTCCATTGGTATGCAGTCGACCTGTCTCGTTTGAATCGAGCTGCCGAAAGTCTGCCGCTTGACCAGTGCTGCGACATCGATGAGGAGCGGAAGGATGATCCCTTGGATTTTCTGGATGATATCTACCGCCAGCCAGCCATGGTCGAAGCTTTTCGTCCGGCTTCGGTCCAGAGCTACGAATTTAAGAGTGGCACGAGTGCTGCTGTTGATGCCATATACGTGCAGGCGGATACCGTGGAACCTCAAGTGGAACCGCTGGAGAAGCCTGTCAAGCCTCTTCGTCAGCAAGCCCGCTTAGCTGAGCTCAACAACGACAAGAAAGACGAGAACAACAGGTCTGAATGAGCAAGGCGACGATTATCGCTACTTGTCGTTGGTGGATGGGACAGCTCATGTGTCGACTTCATTCGGGGCGTTCTTGTATTCGGATGACGCTAACTGAATTCCGTTTTGGTATCGAAACCACCAATAAGCCTTTGTCGACTATGACGCTATGTTTCTTGCTGCGCATCGGGTAGTGTGAGTCGCACCAGTCGCTCACACGAGCCGTCCAACACTATACAAGGCGTCAAAAGCACGAAAGAAAGCCATACGCAAGCCGCGTGGTCACCAGGAGGTTCGCGACTGCCTCCGTTATCCAGTCCAAAGCACCTGAACCACACTCCTTGCGCGTCATCGTCACCCACACAAGCTGCAACGCCATTAACCCGCAGATGAAAACGACCAGTTCATTCATTTCTTCCTTCCACTCCTTCTCTTCCAATTCATTGGTCAAGAAGCTCAACAGCGCCTAGCGACTCCACTCTCCCTTGTCCTCCTCGACCGTCCCGTCACAACGCGCTCGTTTCGGCTCCTCCCAACTCCTCCGTGTCTTTTTTTCACTGACGCTGCTCTATTGAAAGTCTGCTGCGTCATAAATACCAGGCAGCATCGTGTTCACCTTCTCTGCAATGGCCATTACAATACCGCTACGCATTCACACAAAAGAGCAGCACACTGTCAGACCCCTCTCTCAAGCAATAAGACACTGCAAGAGACGCGGACAAGCAACAAGTGTCATCCACCTCACCTTCGGTAGGCCGTGATGCCCTTCGACTTGAGCCAGAACCAGAAGGCGTCGCAATGGGCTGCACAGTCAATCACTCCGTCGTCATTGTCGTCCGAGTTCTCCTGTCGATACCACACCGACAATCGACATTAGCACACAGTAGCAGCAGTAGCAATAGCCCTCGTTGCCCCGCGTCAGTGCCTCGTCTCTCCCTCGTTCGAGTGACGTCCGTACCTTGAGCATGAGGAACTTGCCAATGAGCTGAAACGTGTTCGCCACAGCCTCGTCGCCGTCTCCCGCGGCGTCGCTGAGCTTCGTAACGGCTGCCTTTCCAATGCCTGGCACCTCAGTGAGGTCGCCCGTGAGGGGCGCGCGCAGAAAGTCGGCGAGCGTGTCCTCCGCCACGCGTGACTTTTGGGGGTCGTAGCCGTCAGCCATTGGATGAGCTCGTGTAGTGCCTGTCGTTGATAGGGAGAGAGGGCACGACAAGTGACCGTCGGGTTTGTGGAGCACCGCGATGAGATTTCGCTTAAGTACGGACACGAAGGAGCCGATCGTAGCGCGTCGAATGCAGTCCCACTTTTTTGACGCCACTCAGTGTCCGGACAGCTTAAGTCAGGTTTTAGCTGGTTGTTGCAGTTGTATCTGGCGAAACCTGTCTTAGAGCATGACCACGCTGCTTCCATCCGAGCGTTTGGCCCTGCAAAGCCGACTATACAGTATATGCATGTTAGACTTGAGGCTGGAAAGCCAGCTCAAAGAAAATGCAAGCGACGCGGAGGCAAGATCAGAGGATACAGCCATCAGCGTAAACGATGTATCACGCGCTCGCACTACTCGTACCACTTTTTACTTCATATGTGTGATAGGTACTCACTGCCACAACAGAATTTGGTGCAACTGCGCTCCTGTGCTGAAATACTAGCGAGCTCTTTCCATACTAAAACGAAGAGCGCGTACAACATTGGCGGCTTGTTTGCTGCGATCCTGTGTTTCGATAGAGTCCATATTGCAGGCGAAGTCTATGACGCTCGTCCTTATCCCATCATCTTTCGATCAAATGTGCGTAACACCTGGACTAAAGAATTGACATGTGGCCAGGTGACGAGCGATTTTTGCGCTCTTATGCAATTGTCGACGCGCGTAATATATCAGCACTTGATCTCGTAACGCTGCCCCATTCATACACACTCGCTTCTTTGCGATGAAGAACTTGTGGCATTGTCGTTCAATCAGCAACGTGAACAGAACAGCTGATGCCAAGCGGTAGTCAGGTAGCTTGTACACCGCAAGCTCGGATTGCGCTTGGAGCACTTCTGCACACTAGTTTATGGCGCGTCTACAACACATCTGACGATGTCGAGGCCAGCAATGTATGCAACGTCGCAAATCAAGGACACTTCGATGATAATGGCACGCATAACGAAAGCATAAAAGGCAACACTTTGCTGCTAACCCCAGATCCCATTGTGCGAGTGGTTCCACCAAGCGTTGGTGCGCGCATGTTTACCAGCTTGTAGAAGCGCGTTCAAAAAGCACGTAGAAGCTCTGGATTTAATCGTATTGTTGACGGAGAGAAAGGGCACAAGCACGGAGTCCAGAGTCGATATTTTGCATTTCTTCGCTCAATCCGGAAGATACAAGGGTGCTTTCTTCTTTCAGTTCATCTAGCCTCTCCAACTTGCATTTTGTAGTGACTGATGCGTGTGTATATTGAGTCGAGAGATCTTTGCCCTGTGCACTGCAAACGATCCGGAAAAAAGCTTAAAAAAGCACGATCTGGCACATTTCCGCCGGACTGCACCGTACTGTTAGACAGCTATAACGTAGTAACAACTGTTGAAAATAATCGAGTACATGATCAAGTCGACTGCGCAATCGGCTGGTTACGGACCTATTGAGTTGCCGTGAGTTACGGTTTGACTGAGTGGACCCATCTGCACCAACGGTATAGTCAGGGTCTTGGTCATAGCTGGTCGATACAATTACGCTGTAGGATATTGATTGTTATACGCTTAGCATCTTGTTCCACCAAAATAGACCTCTCTTGGTATTGGTAGAGTGCGAAAAAGGCTAACGCACATGTGATCGATAAGCGAAGTTACAGCCCAGAGATCGGAAACGTGTGGCTGCGATCAACGTTTTTGAAGTATTCTGGTGATGTCCAGCGGTCCTACCAAGCTCAAGATGACCTCAGTATGACATACTCATCATGTCGATTCGCCATTAAGTCCGTTCCACGCCATTGCAGAGTGTGTCTCCACTGAGCTGAAAGGCACTAGATTGGTGGGCTCCGCCTTGGTGCATGCAACCTTTGTCGACGTATAACTTATACTCCACGAGCTACCACCAGCGTGATACCACGGCTTCGGATTTAGCCTAGACACCAGACTGAAGGTTGTCAAGTCGTCAAAGTCGGTACAAGTGAAGCCGTCATGACCAAAGATACGCTGACGATATTTGATCGCTATGGAAGCGTATGACACCTATTTTCGTTTTGCTCGCCTCACCATAATTCCGACCTTCCTAGATAGTCAGCAAGTTTGAGGAAACGCTTCATCAGCGTGACGCGAGTGAGTGACGCTTTGCAGCACTATCATTTAAGCTTAATTAAGGTGTAAAAGATACATACGAAGCGCTCGTATGAGATCTGAGATAGCGCGCATAGGAGCAAATTACTCTATCTACCGTTCCCTAATGTGCAGCCGCTCGTGTTTGTACCTGCGCGCACTAAGCTCCATATTGTTGTCGGCTACAAAGTCAGTTCCACCAATCGAGCACAAACACTCTCTTGCTCAAGAAGGAATCGTATCTCTTATTCATCTCCATCACACACCATCTCTCACATTATTCTACCCTTCTTTTCGCTCTATCGATCTGTCTCCCTCATCACACTTCTTCAAGCCCACATATGCCTCTCAAGCGGTGCTCGAAGCAACGTCTCTTGAGACCAAGCAAGCATTCACCTGCCCATATTTGTACGCATACAGTTTCAATTTGCCGATCTCATATGTTGCCATGTCGCGGCTGAAAGGAGTGGACACACGCACGCGCACTAACCAGGCTGTCTTCCCTATCGGACGCTTCGATTACATGTAATGATGCACACGTCAGAGCCTAAAGACGCTTGTATTGGTTAATGAGACAAAGGACAACAGCTTAGGTAGGAAGATCAGAGCAGCAGTATTTCCTTGATGATAAAAAACGGAGTCTTTGTTTGTTTGGCCGTATACGTCTTGCGTCCGATTCCAATCTAGTATTCATAGGGACAGACAACCCATGCTCGATACATACGACATATTCCTCTACACACAACACCAAGGTAGACGTGCAGTTGCGACACAATCACATCACGGGGTACCAGATCGAACTACACTTCAACTTTCCGTGGCAGTCAGAAGGAAAGGATGATACCGTTTCGTCGAGCATGAGCGAAACAGTAAACGTTTCCGCAGTTATGACACAAGTCAAAGGAACTGCAACTAGGTATCGAGCATGCGATTTGTAGGTCAAGCCATCTATAGGTTTGGTCAAACACAAGTCAACCGAATTGATATCGACGCATTCCTTTGCCGTACACATACATATGATCACTTGATTATGTATTTACGCTTCACGAAAAGTATTTTTCTTACATTGCTAGTTGGAGTCGTCAGAGGAGTCAATCACAATTACATCCCACGAGTGCGCAGCTCCGTAACTAACCTCACTTTTTGTGTGTGGTGTTGGCATTGCCTCTTTTACATTCGCCACGGCGACAGCAGCAGCCAAAGAATCTTGCCCCAAACTGTTTCGCAGTGAGGGCAGCGGCTGCACACACTTTGTTCCTTGTTCTCCGTCGCAGCTGTCAACGTCTTCGCCCAGATGAGTCTTGCTAAAACCAGACGGAGGCTGTGCTCCCTCCTCTTTCTCACTGCCACTCCCAGTTGCATTTGTGCTTCCATCCCCGTCTTGAACACACGTCGTTTTGCTGTTGTCTCCACTACATTCTAAACGCTTTTTCGCTGCCGCTATTTCGTCGCGCTTGGTCTCCGCAGCCCAAATTGTTCGAATGCGCACCGATTCATAAGGATCTTCTTGTCGCATCAACTCTCCTTCCTCTGCCGCCGCCGACGGTATTTGATCCTCGTTATTTTGAATCGCATGTTTCTCAAGCGGATCATCTTCGACGCGTCGTGACAACCGCTTCTCTCGAGCTGCATTACTGTCAATGTGCTGCCGCAAACGAACGACTGAAACGAAGTACGGGTCTTCTTCACGCATTCCACAGATATCTCGAACTCGACGCCGAGTTTCGGCTTCCAGGTCTGCCTTTGTCGGAGCGACATATTTCTCAACCGACGCCCGGTTGCCCGGTTGAACGTATCGATCATCGGAGTAAAACGACTGAGCCTTAACAATTAAGTTCCGACAAGCAAGAGCAAGGACCGTGACGTAGTTTTCCACCCAGCTGGAGGAAGGAAACGCGCTGGTTGTATTCGCAGAGCTGAACAGCGGCAACTTCCACACCGAAGCAAGGTGTTCGTCTAGACCATAGCATTCCACACCTTGCAAAAGCAAAATATCGTGTCGTGGACAGCTCCACCAGACAGGATAATCAGTCGATGCTGACTGAGCTCGAACGACTCGACTGACTACCTCGACTAGTTGAGCTGGGGGTAGCACAAGTATTTGCGTGCGCAGCAGACGAAATAGATCCACTCGATGGAGCAATCGTCGGCACTGTGTGGCGGTAAGTAGCCAAAAGCCTCGTTTGCCACCCAAGATCGAATTCTCTTGACTGAGAGTCATATTGTTCGCTTCACCAGTATCTTCGCGCAATCGGTGGTAACACACACGCTCCAGATCCAGCGCTTCTGCGAGTAGCTCTTCTAATGGGGAGTGTGCAACACCAAGCTGGCAATCCTGCAAAAAGTAGCGCCATTTCTCGTGGCGCTCACGGTCATCTCGACAAGTGCCCACATCAGGGATCCCGTACGAGAATATAAGCTTGGCAAACCGGTTGTGACGTGAGTCATGGAACGAAGCACTAGGGTATCGAGACGTCAGCTGAGCACGCTGAATCTCGTATTGACGCTTTCGTTGTAGTTGTAGTTGCAGCTGCTCATGCGGGATCGGCTGCATCTGAGGCTGCCTCGTGAAAGCTACATTCAAGGGAGCAGCGATTGATGGTGCCGATGGCACTACTGGCTGCGCTATTCTCACAACAGTCCACGCGTGGAGCAGTACCTTTACTCGCCGATTAAGGCTCGCCACAGAAGGCCACTCAGTCAGCGGGTGCCGTTTAGCACGGTCTCCGAATAGAGGCGACTCCTTTACCATTCGAAGAGGAAGAGCTCGACCCTTTATCCATCCCTCGCGATGGACATACATCATCAGCAAAACGTCATCTACACGCGGAATCCACCAAGGTGCTACCGGCTCAGAAGAGTTGACGGGTAGCAGTGTTTGTAAAATTCGCATCGCCTGATTGCGCTCCGGCGTCACTATTGCAGCAGCTGGGCATCGCTGCTGCACCGTTGGTATCGCTGCTGCTGATGTTGTACTCGAGCCGATCGCATTGGAATGCGCGGGTGGATCAAGATTCTCGTTCTTGACGCTTTCGGGTAATGTGATCTGTCCGTTCGCACCACTGTCAGTCGTGTCGCCACTACTCTGGGCGCTTGGAGTCTGTGACTTCGCTACCGTGCTAATATCTTCGTTGTTGGTTGCATTCGAAACTTTCGTCGTCGCCGTGTCTATATAGACTGTTGAAGTGGCCTCCTCGACGGTAAGCGAACTCGCAGAAACATCCTTGGGTTCACATTTCTCTAATGATGTATTCTCTGAAGATGCTTGCACAAAGTGCTCTGCTGCAGAGCAGTTCCCGGTCGGATCAGCTTCTACGTCACTTTTGGCAAAAGCGGCGGGTAACACTCTTCGTTGATTGTGGGACGCCGACTGCGGTTCATCGCCCATTGAAACGTCTTCGTTCTTGCTTACGCACTCACTGCCACCACTTCTTGCTGACAAGGACTCTGCAGATGGATGGTCCACAGCAGGATCGGCAGGTTTATCAAGGACAGGTTCTAATTTCTCATCCTTGTCAACAGGACTTGTATCGCCATTTTCAGGAACAATGCCCGACTCGATCATCCGATGAACAGCAGCTTTGTCTCTCATGCATTGAAAATCCGTGATCAAAGCAATGAGCGGTCCTGGCGGCACCAGCCTCACGCCCACGAAATCGTTTAACTTGTACATAGTGTCAATTTGCTGTAGCTTCGTACGGCTCCCACGAGCCGCCCGACTCTTGAAATCTGTGATCCACATGCGTGGCGGAATGGCGACAGCGAGCGGATTCATTATCCTCATATCCTTCAGCATTGCAGGGATGAACCGATATCGACAACATGTGCTGCCCACTTCACAAGTATATCTCTCGATTGGAGATGCATTCCCCATCTGCAGAGGCGGGGGCGTGGTCGAGACGATATACACTCGGCTTGACTCCAGATCCAACCCGATGCGCGGGAAAGTTGTCATTGCCGTAGTAATTCGCACCAAGCTGCAGACGTACTCTTGAACACACTTACTCAGCTCTTGGTCCGGATACGCTTGTAAGATCGGAGCATGGCGCTTCATGTCATCCCATCGTCCATATCCGAGGCTTCCTAGAAGTTCCGCAATTCGCTCGATGTGCGAGTAGATTGGCAGCAACGGTGCCTTAGAACGCTTCCTTTTTTCAACAGGCGTGACGCCCGATAGACCGTCCTTGGCCATATCTTCGTCACTCAAGTCGTCGTCATCGTCGTCGTCATCTGAGACAACGAACTCTTCATCCTTAACGACACCTAATTCCCGATACGGTCTTTTGCGCAACGATGGGTTATCATCCCCGCTGTCCCCAACCATAAACGACTTGTCGTCGTCGGTCAGGTACGACTTTACTTTTCGGCGACAACGTCTCGTTTGCAAGGGTGACGGCTCTTCCATCTTCTGTTCCTCAACTCCTTTAAGCCCGATGACCTTAGTCCAAAAGTTAGGGTCGTCCACGTCAACTTTGTCGTCTGGATCCGTCGAACTGACGAAAGTAGCCTTTGAAAACGAGGACATGATATTGCGTTTCTCATTCCCGTCAACATTCCGAGTCGGATCGTGGACAATTGTCGTACTCCGGCTCAAAATTTGGTCAATACTTTCCTCTCCAAACTTTTTACTTGCTGCCTCCGCCTCACCGTCTTGTTCCTTAAACATCTCATACGCACCGTGTTTCAGCAAACTTTCGATTTCCTCCTTCGACATCCGATCGTTTGCCTTGCTTTTGCTCGAAGCCCCCTTGAGCTTTGCGACAGGGTCGTCATTTTTGATCCCCCCCAGCACTGCTTGATCGAGACCCAACTTCAACGATGCTTTGTGAAACATGTGCAACTCGTATGTTTTCGATGTCAGCAGACGGTAAATCTTTACACTCTTCTTTTGACCAATGCGATGACAACGTGCTTGCGCCTGCAGATCGTTCTGCGGGTTCCAGTCGCTGTCATATATAATCACAGTATCAGCCGCTGTCAGATTGATGCCAACGCCGCCCGCGCGAGTACTCAGCAGCATGATGAATGCATCACTGTCTTCTCGACAAAAGCGGTCGATAGCTGTCTGCCTCTCATTGCCAGTAATATTGCCGTCGATGCGCTCACAATTGTACCGACGCAAAGCCAAATAATCCTGAATTATGTCCAGCATTATTCTGAACTGTGAGAAGATTAAAACGCGGTGTCCGGACTCTTTGAGACGAGGCAGCAATTTGTTCAGCAACACTAGTTTGCCGGACGAATCCACGAGGCTTTCACTAATTTGTCGCTGAATTTCTTCCTTTGGCACTGACTTTTGACTTGCAAGTCGCTTCGCTTCGCGCTCTTCCACACCTTTTACGAGGAAGGGATGGTTACAGCACTTGCGCAGCTCCATCAGAACGTTCATCAAGCTAGGCGTGTTTCCTTTCTTGCCGCCTCTCGATAGAAACTCCGTGTTCTTTTCGTAAATAGCACGGTAATATTGCTTCTGAAGCACAGTTAGCTCGACTTCAATAATGGTCTCTTCCTTTGGCGCAAGCGACTTTTCTACGTCTTCCTTCATGCGCCGAAGCAAATATGGTTTGAGCTCTGAGTGTAAACGCTCGACCTGAGCCGAATCCGTCAGTTCTCCAAAGCGCTCGAGGAAAGCTTCTTTGGACTCGAACTTTTTTGTATCAAGAAAATTCAGCAGCACCCATAGCTCCTCTACATTGTTTTGAAGCGGCGTGCCGGTCAGCAACAGCATATTCTCATACGTGAAACGTGTGCGCAGGATAACAGACAGCTTGGAATTGCGGTTTTTCAGACGATGTGCCTCGTCCACAACCATGAGCTGCCATTTGATCTGAGCCAATTTGTAAAGGTCTATAGCGGAGGCCATTTCAAATGTAGTAATGAGCACATCAAAGCGGTAACAATTACGCTTGGGTCGCAAAGAAAGACGCTTCCAGTTGCCTTTCGAGGGATCCTTTGCAAAAAGCTCTTCAGCACGCTGTAGCTCGTCCTCTGTCAGAAAAAATTCGTAGTTTTGCAAAGCTTCTCGTGCAGCAACTGAACCATGGTACACGACGGCGTTAAGATTGGTCCAGCTATCAAACTCACGCTGCCAGTGGCCCAACGTTGAAAGAGGAGCGACAATGATGAAAGGCCGTGGCGTACGCTCAACAGCCGCAAGATGGTTGACGAACATTACGGTCTGCACGGTTTTACCGAGACCCATTTCATCTGCAAGCATCGAATTGCGCTTCTGGTACCAATTAAAAAGCATCCAGTTCACGCCTGTAAGCTGGTAATCGCGCAGCTGAAAGTTTTGCTCTTTCTTGCAAGGCGGCGGGGACTCCGTAGTGTAGCCTCTAAAATTTTTGCGTTTGCTCTGCGGTGTGTGTTTTGCGAGAGCAACTTTCTGGAACCGCTTAGCAGCTCTCATGATGCGGTCATTGTACAACTCCACAGCAGCGTCATCGCCCACATCATCTTCCCGCTCCCACGTGAGTTCATCGTAAGGAAGAGCTTTCCATTTTACCAGAAAGTACATGAGTGTACCTTTGCCGCGGGTCGAACTTGCCACCGCAAAACCGTCAAGCGGCTGGTCCCGAATCTCAAGAATGCGATCGACGATGCGAAACTCCGGGTTAAAATACTCGTCTCCTTGTGTGTCTTCGGAAAACCCGGCGCGGTGTTCCTTCTCACGAAAGCGCTGGATTTTGCCTTTCGCGTTTTTGTCCGTCTCACGCAACTCATCTTCCGTTTGCCAGCTAGTGTGGAGATACGATAATGATTTCCACTTGATCAAGAAACGTTCCTCGTCAGCATCCTCAACATCTTCGACACTCGCTTTCCGGGTCAAGTCTATTTCATTGCTTGCCACGGTGCTTTGTTCGCCACCTTTGGTCTTCTTCTGTTCTTCTTGTACCTGCTCCAGCTTCACTTCCTGATCCATCTCGCCCTCTTCATCAGAAGAGAAAATGGAGCAGTGCGTCAAAAAGCGTGTCGATTTGTTCCAGCACATTTTCTTCCATTCCTTCAGCGTGTGAACTTCGCGACCCAGAATCTTGTCGATGACAAACCCGCTAAACTCTGCTTTCACTTTCGTGCTCTCACCTTCCGCATCACCAGAAGATTCGTCACTCGAGTCTGACGACGAACCTCTCCGTTTCCGCTTACTCCTTGCTTTACTCTTTGCAGCTGACTTTTTCTTCGGCCTGGACCTCGCTATTGGTTTCTTCCTTTGCTCATCACTGCTTATCATGTACTCGTCATCCGAAGTATCAACGAATGAGTGCAAAGGCTTGGACTTGCGCCGGCTGCGTCGTCGGTTCAATTGTTCCTCTACAAGCTGTTCTTCTTCCTCGTCCGACGGTGTCTCTACTGGATCCACATAATCCTCTGTCGCATCTTCGTCTGCTTCTTCCTCTTCTACTTTGTCGCCGTCATCCTCATCCTCACCCGAATTCGAATCCTGCATACGATACTTCTGATCAGAGAAAAGCAAACACAGAGTAAGAAAAACACGCTCCAAAGCGCCAGATGAACAACGTGCACCTTCGATCTTCAGCCAATACAGTAAGTAAACGCAACGATATCATACCTCCTGTGCGCCACGACGTCTCTTGGCAGGCCGCTCGAGGTCCCACACGTTCGAAGTCGACTCTTCGCTCTCGTTCGCCGCATTTCCATTGCTTCGCGAGCGCTCTGGCGCTCTGGACTTGACGCTCGCGCTCGTCTCGCTGTCGGAGCTGCTGGAGCTCAAGAGCTCGACAGTCTCGACAGCCGCGTCGTTCGCCCTGTAGGAACCCTACATCACAGCACAGCACAATAAAGCAGAGGTACAATCGTCACAGGAGCAACAGAACGATCGGCCGAAGGTGAGCACGTGGACAAGCAGTGTGGGTGAGTGGAAGAGCCAACAACGCACCATGCCGACGTTGACTTTGCGCCCACAATCACTCACTCTCGGGTGGCAGAGTGAATGTAGGTCGTAAAGCGAGGGTACCCAATTTGCTAAAAAGGATTCTCTAGGGCTAGGCCTAGCGTGGACAATTGAGATTTTTGGATTCGACTGGCGTATTTCGATATTCGTAGGTGGCATCTCTGACGCACGCGACGTCGACGTGAGAAATGAATGGTGGGGAGCAACGATGTATTGAAGTTTGTATGCGAGCAACATATGTACATCCGGTTCAGATTTCCCACTCCACGTGCTGCTGTACTTTGGACCCGGTGCATGTAGTTTGTTGCCGTTGATGTTCTGTTTTCGAGACGACAGGTAGTGCTGTTGCCATCTTGGCATCGAAGGCAAAGATCTCGCGCAATACACTGCACTTTGTTGGCGAAGGACAGCTACGATAGCATCGGCTATATGGCTGTGCTGGCTGCTTTTCTAGCTGTCCACATAGCGAAAGACTAGCCAACAATGAACAACCCTGTTTTCAGCAAAGTTATGTGAACTGCAGATCTTGCGTATCGATAAGCATATAGCACGACAACGACTTCAATTCAAGTGTAGTTAGCAAGTCGCAAGCACAAGCCCAGCTACCTAATATGAGCGGAAGCGCCTCTGCAACAGCTGTTTGTGGCGATGAGATTGTATTCTGATGAATGCGAATGAGTCTGTCAATTGCACACACAGCTAACTGGATGCTGACCCGAATAATAAGAGCGGCCCTTGATCGCTTTGAGCCTTATTACTGTTACTTGTCGTCACTTGTGTACGATGAGCACCTATGCATTTGAGCAGTCTCACTGCAGATGCGGCAGTATCTGACACAAAAAGACATTGCTTGTCGTTTACACCCCATTGCTCCCTAATATCGCTTCTTTCAAACTATCCTAGAAGTCCTTTACCGCACTGCAATGGCAACAATGGGCCCCTTTGGGTAAATGAGACAAGACAATTGATAGCACTAGATTCTTATTGGGGTCTAACATGACAAACGACGTGATGACAAGTCACCCGGAAAACGGTCGCTTCTTTTCAATGATCCTTTGGTCTTTTCGCCTGACTCAATGCAAATCGATATTCCGTGTACTTTTCCTTTCGTTCATTTAGCATCGCTACCAAGGCCCAGAACAGCACTCATGCATGTTGCGAAATGATAATCCGACCTCTCTGCCGAATGTGTCCCTGTGGTAGTGTTTTGTAACTTCTGTGCTTAACATGCGATAGATCATGCATCCCTTTCGTCCCGCTTTATCATTCTTGATCGGACTTTGTTCGATTGAAGCAGACTAAGGGCAATCCTAGTTCTTGTAGTAGCGCCCGCAGCGACTGCATAAGCGCATTTCCCACGACGTGTGCAAAGACGTGCATATTTGTAAACCATTTGACACATGACTAATGATTCCGTATTCGGCTTGCTTCGCAGTCGATCTTTTCGAGACACGAAAGACACATGTGTGTGAAATGTCACTGGTACAAATCATACCATGACAGCCCCTCGACATCGGTTCGTCGTAGACATGCTACAAATTAGTAACCCCCACGCTTTTTCAGTTCCAAGCGTAACGACCTTTTCACAAGTATACGAGTCAACAGCTGAGTGTCAACTTACACAGGTTTTATCCCGAGGTCGAAGAACTCGTCGGTAATCAGTTCGTCAAACCAGTTCGCCTTTATTACTGTCCCACGTAATGCGTCTCGCCCCTGACGCTACGCCTGACATGGAGGAGCATTCGAAGCATGAAAAGCAGCCATTGATCCGCTGTATCGATAAGGAGGAAGAGCTGTGTGTCGGGTACGCGCAAGCCGCATGTTCTTTTATCACGTTGGGTCTGTCATCATTGAGCTCATTGTGTGACTGCTCTTCAACAGTGAGGACGGGCTCATTGCCGTCGTGCCTGTGGATATCAAGAGCCGTATGAAGAAGCTGAAGAGGCTGCTGGAATGTCGTGAAGATGTGAGCTACTACGAGGACGATGAGATGAGATTGGGCCACTTGTGACTGAACGATGATGTAAACACTCGATATTTTGCGGAACAGGAGCTGCGGCAGGCAGCAGAATATGGTCTGGGGCTACTGGAAGCCAATGGGGAGCTACAGATGCAAGTGGCGACACTGAAGATACAGCTGGAAACGGAGACAGAGGAGCTGTCGGTGGACAGAAACACTTGGCAGCGACGCACTGAGCAGGCGCAACAGGAGACGGCGCAGTGGAAGCGCAAATTTGCACGTGCGGAAGAGGAAAAGACGGAATTGGTAGAGGAGTTTGAGTGCTTTGTTCGACGCTGCGAGTGTTCTCGACACGATGCTGAAAAGCTGGCGAACGATTGCGCATCGAGCAGCGGACAAAAGTGCTCCGATCATTTGGACACGATCGCCCGACTGCAGAGGGAGTTACAGGACGTCCAAGCCGCTCAGCGTGTCAAGGAGTCAGAACTGACAACGCTACGACTGTGGAAAGAGGGGGCGGTGCAGCAGCAACAAGAGGCGCTTGCATGCGAAGTTGTAGCTGCTCAAAAGGAAGTCACAGACATCGCAGAAGTGGAAGAAGAGCTAGCAGCTACCCAACGTGCGATGAGAGTTCTTACAGATGAGAAGGATGCGTTGCGCGAATTGGCAGAAAAGCACGAAGAAGACATGCGTGCGCTGAAGAAGCATCTTCGCAATGCCGAAGCGGGGAAAGATGACGCGGAGATATTGAGTAATGAATTGACTGAGAAACTGTTGTCGCTCGAGTCGCGATGTACGCGACTTCAGCGCGAACTCGAGCTGCTGCAGCACGTATCCTATTTCACTCAAGCAGTCGTTGACTGCGACGATGAAGAAAGTGATGAAGACGATGGAATTGATGAAGAAAAGAATTCCCAGATAGCCGTGCTCGATACGAATGAGATCGAGAATACCGACACTACGCAAGCTGCTGAGAACTCGGAAAACGGAGCTGTGCCTTTGACATTACGAACTAAACGACAGCGACCTGGTCTCGTCGAACCAGGGACCCCACGTACGCTATGCCCCACTACTGAAGAAGGATCGCATGCGCAGGCACCGGAGTCGGAGCACGAGATGAACGCAAAGTTACACCACTACTTTCACTTGACGGCACTGAGCATCATACACGAGAATAGTTTGCACGAACGCTGCTTCGATTCGTCGAGTCGCCTCACGATCGACATGTGGCACCGCGAAGTTATAGCGAAGGAAGTCCCGTTCCTTTTGTGGCATTCGTGGCTCATCAATCGCATTGGCGAGGTGGCCATGCTTGTACAGGATGAAGGTGGCGTGCCCCATGGACCCACTCGAGCGCCGAATGTTAGGGGTGCGTTCTTCAGGTTTTCGTTGCTGAAACTCAGTGGAAGTGGCGGTACGACACCGAGAAATAATCTGGCTGCTTCGCCCCCAAGCGTCGCATCGTCGCCAGCATCGTCACCGGTGGCTCGAGTACCATTTGCAGTGGCACGAGCATTTTTTCGTTTAGTGAGAAAGAGGACACGTGCTGGCGCAGAACCTTCGCCAGTAGGTGGGTCGCCAGCCTGTGGCGCACCTGTTGGATAGCACGCATCTGCGTTGTGTCCATGACCCATTGCTACGATGAGAACATTTGGTCTGCGTTTATTGTGGCTACATTGCTACCGAAGAACTAGCAACTGATTTGGTGGACAATTTGATTTTTTCGAGTGAAGTACTTTGCGGATGATTATCCGAAACACTATGCACACGCGGCACACTATGAAAATGCGGAGATAATTGAGACAATGAGTCCGAAGCCCAGAAATGCCGCAAGTTTTGCAAACTGACCGGGCAAATCGTTGAGCCTCTCCAGTCTGAATTCTTCGCTGATATCTTTGAGTTTTGCGATCGATACCAACAGCAACACGTTTCCCAGATGACCCATCACAATGCCCGTCACCAGCAAACAACCATAAAAAGTGGCGACGGACAGCAAAAAGGTCTGGAAGGTTTTCTCGAATCCCAATCGCAATGCCAACGACGTTTCCAAATGTCCAGTACGTCGAGCAAATGGTGCGTCTCGTGCACTCTCAAGCAGCAGATATGCCCACGCAAATAGCATCACAATGTACGCGTAAAGCACGACAGACCACAGCACCTCATTGACCAGGTACAGTGCCGTGCTGACCATAGCGATAGGTCCGATTGCCCATGCGACTACCGCTTCACGGAGCCCGACCACTGGCAATGGCTTTTCGCCGCGTTGGCAGTAAAGTAGACATAATGTGACAAGCAGTGCCGTCCCTCCTGTTGCTTTTGTACTTTTGTCACACATGACATGTGCCATCCCTAAAAGAGTCAACTGAAGGCCGTAAAATAGACACGACCAGCGCCAAACTTGAGTCAATGTCAGCAAACTATGATAACGCATTTCAGTTAGAAATAAAAATGCGAAAAATAAGTACAACACACGAATCAGCGGTATCGAGATATAGGGGCAGGCAATCAAAGGACCCACTTGAGAACGATCTTGGTGTCTGGCGCTCCTTCTCGTGTTGGCTGCAAAGCGCGCTGAAAGTTGCTGTAGACCACGCTAAGGTTTCCCACCAACTGAGTCAATAAAGCGCAGCCAAGAATAGCAAGTACGTCCAGCTGGAGGAACGAGACGTTATGGGATCGGCGTAGGAGACTGACGGCGATTAGTACGGGAGACGCAGAGGCGAACAACGTCTGCGGTCGCACTGCACAGCGCAAACTCGTTGCGTATCCCATTTTCGCGAGATCTCGACTTGAAGCTTAAATGGTCAGATAATATTCGATGACTGAACGGATTTGAACAAATTGTGTGTGGGCGTCTGAGATTCAGAGCCCCCAAAAGTCATCAGGTGTGGAAAGGGGCGGGTTCTGACACGTAGAGAACTCAATTACTGTACTTTTGACGGACGTTCGCCAAAATTACGTAAAAACTAAACATAATTCTGTACTTCTGATGTCTGACCAATAAAAATGTATGCCATCGTGCTGCTCACACCCTCATACTGTAACTACATCCGAGTCATGGAAAGCAGTGGCAAGCTCGTCTCTCACTTCTTAACCTTGAGCATCTGCTGCTGAGGTTTCTTGCCAGCTCTGATGGAACACGTAGGAGTCGTGCTACCGAACGTTCTGATGGACTTGTGCTGCTGTGCTGGATCGCCGCTGATGTACGTGTAATCCTGAGTGTATATTACTAACTTTGCCCTCTTGACCTCCTTTTATTCTGTCTCACTCGATGATTGTACATAGAAGAAATACAGCTATCGATCAGGATTAGATATATTGTCACGTCCATTTTCCGTATCTTCGTAGTTGGTGTGCCGATTCTACTTGACCGCTTTGACTTGTCACCACCACTTGCAAGTCGTTCCAATACAGCCAACTACAACGTAATAGGAAGAAAAGATCACTACTTCTCGATGAAATACTTCACCCTTCCCTGTCGGCAATCAATACATTCGCCTCCTCATTTCTGCCGAATTAACTGCAGCTTAGCGTCAACTTGAATGAACGAAATGGAAACAAATAGGATGACGTCCTAGCAACAAACGGGAAGAATGGTCGGCTGTCTCATACTAGCCTCTAGCGCGACTACGCGTAAGTTGTAATGTATGACTAACTTAACAACTGCTGTTGTAACTGATAATCTTGTTTTATCTGCCTGTAAAGTTGGGAGAATTAGACCGGTTTTGTCACAATTGGAAGGTTCGCATTTATCTTGCCCGCTGCCAGAGCGCTTAGAGGCACTAGTGCCGTGTAGCCTTTCTACTAGGCTCATTGCACCCAAAAGTGAGTGAATAGGTCATAGACCTGTTTGTAGCAACAAGCGAGCGAAATAGCCTGTTTTGAAAGATGTACCTATTGTGTGTCAGTCCTTTACTGTAACGGGATCAGTCAGATGACACTGACTTACGGTGTTCAGGTAACTCGCCATCGAAACATATGCGCAAGTACAACCTTGTGAGGTCATACCCAGCGAGGTGACGATGGTGCTCTGATCCTCGGCTGAGATCGGACATGATGTCGTCCAAAACATCCTCAATCAATAAAGACGCGCACAACGCTTGGCTAGCAAGTAGTCAGCATACATATTTCTGTTGGATAAATGACAGTGTGAGGGCACTTTGTACGAAGCACGTAAGTAATGTCAAGCACTGTTGTGTCTCTCGATTCAATCTGACATGTCTGGTCGAAAGGCTTCGCGTCCTTCGCTGCAATAAAGTGTACGTGTAGTGGAAGGACGCACGAATCTACAAAGTGATAGCGTCGAAAGTTTACACTGTGGTCAATATAATCGTCAATTGACCCAAAACGTGCACGCTTGGCGGTCTGATCTATCGTCGCCTGAAAGAGTAGACTTTCCGATTGCAGTCTACCTCTAAATCGAAACCGTATCGTTAGAATGCATCATTGACATCAGCGTGCCCCATGTAGCAGAAAAGTAAGCGTATTGGATTTTATCATGCAGAATTGATGTTTGTACGTCTCGTAAAACGACGGGAAAATATCATACTATTATTCATATGAGTAGCAGCTATTGCCAATTAGCAAGCAACACGCTAAGATATAATATCTGCCATGTCATTGTAGCAAATCCGTCCAGCAGCAATTTTATAAGCATGAGAAGCATGTAAGCAAACATTTGTAACCTTAAACACAACACTCCATGGGTTCAATACATATTCAAGTTATTGAACTTTTGTTTGGGGTCTTAAGCTTACTCAATTATGCCTATCCTACCATCTAGTTCGGCTCTACACCCATGAACGCTTCAACAACCGCCATAGCAAGCAAATCTTGACTTGAATGAGTAACAATTATAAGCATGTAACTATGCATTTTGTAGGGCATGTGGCCTACGAGGTTGTACATGAGAATAACATCGATAATGCAAGACGAAGTTAGACCGATCAGAGTTAGGACACAAGTGTAGAGTGCCTATTTTCTCCATCTTTCTGACACAATATATCACAAGAATGATAACCTGCTCGGCGAAGAGTGCGCTTGTTTGAAGGTACAGACTGATAGATCAGCTTGATCGAAAACCCCAGTGAACAAGCTCTTTCTTCGTATACGTTATTGCACGCAAAAGAATAAATATAGGACTGAGTGACCGCGTTTATTGAGTGACTTTGAACCCTGTGAAGTAGCGTAATGCGGTTGGTACTCCGTTTGATGATGCCGATTTATTGCTGGATGGAGTGAAAAATGCATCGAGCATTCCCTCTCCGCGTTTCAGCTACCTGTGGCTTGTTTTTATATCCGACAATGACTTCAGAATCACTTTTGAAGAATCGACGTCATAAGCCGAGCTGCTACAAACCAATTACAAACGCTTGTCGATTGCCATAACAATCGAGAATATATCTATCCGATTCCAACTCGCCATCGTCATTTCGACAAAGAATCAAAGAGGACACTTCGGCATCGTGTCCAAACTTGTATCAACGTGTGATAACGTCGTTAGGGCGGGTTGGGAGTCTCTCGAATGACCTGAGTTGGTGTAGATACTGATCAGTGATAACAATCCAGGTTATGATGAAGTGTACATTCTCAAAATGATATGGGTTCGTGGGTAGCGCTCTTGTCGGGTTGCCGCGATCTGCATCAAGACGGCGGGTGGATCAAAGGCTTCATTTGCCGCCGATATTCGATAAGACCAGCTGCTTCATCGTCATGTAATATTATACTCGTATGCCTGCACCATTATATTGCAATTGATAGATCTTGATAGTCATTGTTGAACCCTGGTCGGTCTATCCGGGGGTGAAGATTGTGAAACATGCGAAAATTCTCCGATCATGGGGGAATATAAATGTATGTAATGCAAGAAATGTCTGCGCATGCCTTCATCAACGATGCAACTCTTTCTATTTTTGTTTTATTCAGGCCTTTTGCGAATCCTAGGAGTAATTCTTCCGTCTATTGAGATATACTATCTGTAAGCTGTACAATCACTGTACACCTTTGTTGTGGCTTCTCCTTAATTAAAGTCGAAACTACTTACATATTTGTTGAGAGCCACATGGCAATCACTACCTTTACAGGTGATGGAAGGACATTAGTCGGTATTGTCTTAATTGCGTTTATGCCCGTGATTGTCAAATGACTTTAGGCAACGATGGTCCAGTCTTAGCACATATTGACCTATACGAGAGCGTTTTGCTGTCGGCGTAATTTATTTCTAGTCATGCCACACTCATATACGACCAATTCTCTTTTACCGGAGTCTCAAAAGATAATAAAAAGGCACCACAAGATGAGAAAATCAAAGAAACTAGATGATCGAAATACAAAATGCACCACAAGACGGAAAAACGATGCACAAATGATCGAAAATAAATAATGAACCGCTCGTGTATGGTTTACGATCGAATATACACACGCCTGAGATCTTTCATATTAATCCACGTAAACCTTCGTCATATCCTCTTCATTGACTGAAACCCTTGTCATATTTTTCCGTCGGCAGACGCTGAACGAAAGAGAAAAATGGTGCGTCGACGCTTCATTCGTTATCGGAAGGTATTGCATGTAGATAAAAGAAAAGGCTACGTTGAACATGTTGT